AATAGATCCAGTCTCCAGTGGCTCTCTGCAAGAAGACGTTGTGTTGAAGTCCGTTTAAAAGGATCATTACGCAAACTTTCTGTTTCAGCCAATTCGAACTAAACTTTGAACACTTTGAAGCACTCATATCCTCTAACAAACTAAGGTTTATATTGGGTTAGGGCATATTTGAGGGTTATTTAAAGGGAACAATTTAGGCTTCGCCCTTTGGCTTCGTAATACAGATAACCATTATCTTCGTATCTCTCGCATGCACTAGTTCCGGGAACTGATATTCTTTCTTGGACTATGGATGCCAGTCACGTACGACCGAATGAACGCTCCGTAGGTCCTGTCGAAGAGTTTCTTATCCCTTTATGCAGAGATATGTCAGAATTGTGCGAAACCTACCCTACTTTATGCCGAGAGAAGAGAAATTGAGAGTAAAATGGAAAAAAAGGTGAAATAGAACAACCAGAAGAAAAAAATCTTTTAAAACCAGCGAGATCTCAGGGGATATAAGGCAATATATGCTTATCGATGTTTATAATTCGGAAATAAACGCAGCTCACACCATTCGGAGCATAGACACTTTTCTTTTAAATACGATCAGTTCGTAACTTTTTACTTGTAGTGCAAGTCCCTAACCATGAGATCACGTTTTGTGAATTCGTGTCTTGTTTTTTTTATGTGCAGATTTTGGGTGTTCGCTCTATGTATTTTTATTTGTTTAAAATAATTGGTTTGCAATTAAGAGTTTCACATACAAAACTATGATGCTTGTTGAGTTAGTTTACGTCCGTAGTGTTCTTCGAAAGAAAATATTCTGTATCTGGTATTTTTCCTGTCAATCGGGCGTACAAATGGCTTCTAAAGTAAACTTATTTGATGCTGTAGATAAAGTTTTTGATTACGAAGATAGGTGAATTCGTTTCTCATAACCGTTGAGCGCTGCGACAGAAATGTAAAAAGCTTAAAACTTCAGAATATAGCCCGATGAGGGACTCCAACTACTATACATGCGGTGTTAATTTCTACTTCAACTGCATCCTCCTCTCATAAAATCGCACGGCACTCCGTGTACTATAGTCAAAATTTGTCTGTTTTCATTTGATATCAGCTTTCATCCTCAGACAAATTCTAAAGAATCCCATAACAGTCAACATGTTGACTCCTGATGGCTTCAAGTTCATTTAGAATATTGATTAAAACTTCCCCCTGCTGATTTAGAAAACTCGGGTCTGGGCTGATGTAATTTGTTTCAAAATCTACAGTTTCCTTACTGGAATATACTTGTACATATTCAAACCTCTCGGTGGTCTCTTACTTCATACCTAGCTGGCGCCTGGAATACCGTCTGATGGGCTAACGAAAGCGGAGCATTTCAGTCCCCTGTTTAACTTCGTTTAGCCTCACCGTCGAAAATAAGCATTCCCTGGTAGGGATTGATGAAAGGGTCATTCGAGGGAGGGTATTGCCAATTATAGACAATATCCAAATTTTTAAACGGTTTTTATTTCTTTCTTGGGTTTGAGTTTTCTGTTGTTGGGCAGTCTTACAATAAATATATATGCATATTTTGAAGGGTTATCGGCGAGGAATGCTCTTGAGGACCCCATTAATTTAAAGTAACGAAATAATTGTTACAGTCAATATGAAGTCGTAGAAACTTCTAGTAACATAACACACATTCGAGTGACATCTCACGGAACAGTGCAAAACAGCATTAAAGCAGACTAGACGCACAAAATGTCTTAAAATGCTGTCGATAAGAAATAATGTCGTCATAGTCATGTTTTTTTCAATTAAAATTCCATCAAGTCTTCATTTAAAATAAGCACTGTTGTCGGCGGAAATCGTCTCGCTTGGTAGCGAGTTCCAAGTTCATACAACGCGGGGCTGAATAAATACTTTCTGAGGTCTAAACGAGGGCGTTCGTTTGTGACCTTGTAAGGTTAACTCGAAGAAATCCTCCGACCTAAGGGAAGAAACGCAGTCCAGGATTATCCGAAATGTCCAGAGCAGGCTACTCTGTAAGTGCCTGTAAGACAAGGAAAATAGGGCAAGCTTGCTCAGCCTCTCCTCATATAGTAAGTCCCTAAGACCATTGATCATCTTTGTCGCCCTGCATTGCACTTGTTCGAGGAGGTCCACAGCTTTTTTCAACCACGGCGTCTGAACTGGCATTGCATAGTCAAGATGTGGTCCCGTAAAGTGGCGAATATTCTTCCGAAGAATTCAGATGGGTAGATTTTTAATGCTCATCTGATCCAGTGCAGTGTACTAGTTGCCTTCTGGACTGTCTTTTTACAGTGCTCTGTTAGCATCGAGTTTGCGGTCGTCCATA